AACTCTTCTGGATATCGTTTAAGGACCGATTCAAAGGTATCCTCCCCACGGAGTGGATAGTATTTAATACTTGTGGTAACATTTTCATCCAATCGCGACCAAGCAAATTGACTGGAGCCTGAGGCACGACATGAAGTACCAGACTGTGTGATCTACCCTGATGCTGCACTCGTACCTGACACTTCCCAAGTAAATCAATCACTTCTCCTGTATAGGTTCTAAAAGCGGTATCAGTCGGTTCCAGGTCGGGTAACGATGAGAGCGCTTTTTTACCAAGCAATGTCACCGCGGAACCAGTATCCAATTCAAATAAAACAGGTTCGTTATTAACATGAAGCGTGAGCCTATATGGAGACGCTTTCGTCATAACTGAGCAGTTTGAAATTATATGGTTCATAAAATTTAGCTGGGAATCTGGGCACTCACCGTCGTCGGAGTTCAATGATTTGATCGAGACTTGTGACCGTGTGGAACGGCAAACACGTGCCAGGTGGCCAAGTTTTCCGCAATTTCTGCACTTTGTGCGAGTATGAGGACACTGGGTGGGAGAAGTGTGCTGATCCCCGCATCGGTAGCAGACGAACTTCCGTACCCTGTTTTCAGAGGATAACCGTGGTGACAGTTTGTTTACACATTCCACAGGCTGAGGAGGGTTGAAGGTGGATAGTTGGGATTTTAGGTTTTCCCTTTGACGTTCAAGGTTACACGCCATTTCCCAGGAAAGGGTTTCTTCCTCCTGTGACAACAAATTTTCCCTCGCACCATCATCTGTAACTCCACCAATTGGGCACTAGATTTTCATGACTTCTTCAAACCGACTTGAGGGAATGGTATTGTACTGGCATTCCGGTGTAGCTTGATGAATGCGGGCAATGAAATCATTTACACTTTCTCCGCATCGTTGCTGTAGCTTGAAAAACTGATAACGAGCGGAAAACACACTTTGTTGGATTCCCCACAATTCCTCAAACAACTGGATCACGTGCACAATACTGGTCTTAGCCATCAAGTTCATCGCGTCAAAATGACGTTGTCCTTCTGATCCAAGGGCTTGGCGGAATAACAGAATCCAATGGGTATCGGATAACACGATAGAGGGGTTTAACACAAGAAAGAGAGTCATTTGTTGTTGGAAAGATGTTTTCCACTGTACCCACGACTGTAGAGAGGGTTTTTCTGCACCATCAGGCCACAGACATGACAGTCCCGCAAGAGGGCTCGTAGCAACCGTCGCCATTCTGATACGTATTACTCGAGTATTGCTGGATCGCATCTGGACCCTTAGTCCGCGCAAGAAGTGAATAAGAACACACACCGGATGGGACGTGTCAAAAACTGTAATAGTAGTTAGCTTGTAGGTTACACCAGATGAATAAGTCGAAAAGGAACCAATCAGCACAAGGAAAAAGAGTGGATGAATCAGCTATCGGTCAGTCGATCTGTATGTGTCTGTGTTTGCTCATCGGTTTAGCGGACGACACACATGTAACACTGGCAAGAGTCATCTCCTCAAATTTCCTGCTTTTCGCCGATGACGTCAAGATATGGCGGGCGATTTGTAACAAGCCAGATCAGGATCTGCTCCAACATGACTTAGATTGCATATACGAATAGTCAAAGAGGAACAAGTTTCAATTGAACATAGCTAAGTGCAAAGTGATACATCTGCGTCACCAGCCAGTGAGCGCTTACAAGATTGGAGACCACACCTTGGCGAAGGTTTCTCAGGAGCGTGACCTGGGTGTATTGGTACAGGAAGATCTCGGGTGTTCAAAACAAGCAGAGAAGGCGAGGAGAACCGGAAATCAACACTTCGGCCTTCTTCGCAGAGCCTTCGGTCGGTTTGAACCCTCAATATTTCCCCAAATGCTTAACGCCTACGTGCGACCTCACGTGGAATATGCTATTCAGGTGTGGCAGCCGTGGCAGAAACAGGATCTCGTTGCTCTCGAGGCTCCTCAACGAAGGGCAACCAAGAACGTCAGGGGCATCTTTCATCTACCCTATCAGCTTAGACTGAAATCTCTAAGAATGTACAGCAGTCGATATCGGCTTTTGCGGGGGGATCTCATAATGGTTTACCAGATTCTGAAGAACCCGCACCACATTTGCCGTCCGCTGCTGAAATTGAACCACAACACTAAACTAAGAGGCCACCCTCTGAAACTGACAATTCAGTATAGCCGGCTTGAATGCTGTAGAAATTTCTTTTCTCCCTGCGTGTGCCAGCTTTGGAACGCCCTCCCTAATTATGTCGTCTCTGCTCCCAATCTGGCGATATTTAAAAACCGTGTTGACGATGCATTGTCTCACTTACATTTCATTTTATGACTTGTTAGCCAGGGGCTACGAAACGCAATCAAACGGTGTCTTGCCAAACGCCTAACCAGTGGATTTATGGATTTATACGTTTAATAAGCGAACATTTCCGCTATTCCACATAAGTCTATGTTGAGTCCACCACAACGCTTTTCACTTTATTATGCAATTGATTTCCGCAATAATTTCCATCCCACGGGACTTGTTAATCGATGCTTTTTTACCCATAATAAACCATTGTTCCATTGTTTACCAGGCGCATATTAAGATGCCGTTCCGCCGTCGCCCTTTCTACTCGGGTGGTAAACGACTGGAACAGCTTCCCAGAAACCATGGTCAGCACACAGGCTGAGGAAAGTTTCAAGCGGCTTTCGAATTCCCATCTGCGCAAGATGCCTGAACAGCATTGTTCCTCTGCGAATTCCATGCTCGATAGAGGTCTGTTGTGCTACTGGGGCACACTTGCTTCTCGTGCTGATCTGGATACGACGGATCTAACTTGGGACTTCTGCCCTCTAAAACTCAATGAACTGTTAGTAGCAAAATTAACACAAGAGTGCCGCATGATTTAATTTCAGCGAATTTTCTCCGCATATTTTCAAATGCGTACTACAGGCGTGTGAATGTATAGCCTCATGAAATAAGGGAAGTTGAAAGTAGAAAATGACCAAACTGAACACGCACGCATACAGTCACCTTGTCTTCTGCTCCCAGCCGACTACCACGGCAGAGCCAGGATCACAAATGCATCTTTCTACACCCACAGAGTTGGACCAAGTCCTTTGATAGCGACGACCTCAGCATATTACAAAGTTTTGGGGTTGATTGATAAATGGATAACACGGAAGACGTGCACGTTGTCTACACAATGGTTATCAGCTCGCAGGTGGTGGGCGATTGATGATCCTGGCTGTTTGTATGGAACTTCATTTCGCTTCATCGGCTGCGCATTCGGAATGGCAGAGACAATCATCGGCGAAAAGTGTTTCCTAACCCAGGCTGGTATGTGCTCCGCGTACCTCACTGGGAATTAAATCGTGCGGCACTTTGTGTTAACTTTTCCGCTAAAAGTTTCCTCGGGAACTAATTGTTTCAATTATCTCATGATGCTATAAACTTGCTGACGTTCTGTAGTACGCGCTTGACAAAATGTAGAGACATTTGTCCGGAATCAAATTGTGCGAGGCTTTGAAGTTAACATATTTACTGTACATAATTTCCTCCCGGACAAGGAACCTTTCATCTCACCTGGTTTCTGGTCATGCATGGTCGTTTTTCAGAAGACGGCTTGAGGACACGCTGTCTCATTAACATTATGTGTCAGTAGGACGATGAAACAATACGAACCATCCGCTGTGCCTAGCAGTCCTCTAGTTAATGCAAACGTATAGAAATCTAGATCTGTTTCCACAGAATCGCTTGGCGAATACTGAAATTAGAGAGCGAGAAGATATAAATCTGTACTGTTCCGTCGTACTTAGCTCGAGCATCTGCACGGAATCACGTCGCTGCTCCTGCGCGGTGGCAGCATATTACAGCTGCACTACATCTTATCCGGGTGCGATACGCACCCTGTACCTGTAATCCGCAAGGTAGGTGTCGAGGAATCTCTTAAATTCCGACACCGATTTCGCTTCGACTATTGTCTGAGGCAACTTGTTCCAATATTTCACCACTCGAGGGGTAGAGGGTGAGTGATACGCTTCAAATCCGGTACCACTAGTTTGTACCGGTGTCTGCGTGTGTTTCTTGGTGCGCGAACGTCCATCAGCGGCCTCAACGTAGGCAAGTGGCCCGTGATGTAATAGCCAGTGCATCATTATGAGATCAACCATATGACAGGGTATAAAGCCCTAGACCCCTACATCGGTCCTCATACGACATACCCCGGAAACCGGCATAAGCCGGGTAGCTACATGCCGAAACCGTTCCAGTGTCTGCAACTCATCTGTGGTGATCGGAAAATAGACGGATGACCTGCACTCAAGCACCATTCTTATCATGGAACCGAACAATTGAGAAGGCCACCAAAACTTGTCTTTCGTATAACTTTGATCCGTACTACTTGCCCCGGCTATCCTACCCATGTTGGAATGTGGCTGGTAATATCAAGCTTCACTACAATCGGTTGGTGTTGTGATCTACGGACAGATCTCATGGTAATGTACAAGTCTAGGAGAATCCCATTCTACTAGGCCAGGCAGTATTGCCGATTGGAATGCCAGTCGCATAGCGGGATGTTGCTGTCTCCACATTTGATATTTAAATAACAGCTTGACGCGGAGTTACCCTGTGCATTTCTGAATGTAGCATGTTTATCAGGGAGTAACATGGCACATACAAATGAAGTATCCACAAATTCGGTATAAATAGATTGATAGTTACGATCGGGAGGGGGGGTTATTCGGTGAATCTACTGGTGCGCTTTCAAATTTATTAATGTGCTTTTAGTTGTGTTTTCGACTTTTATCCCGATTACTCTGTTGATCTTGTCAATCATTGGTCTTTTTCATTGTTCCAGTAGGGAAATCGGTGAGTAACAACGGGATTGGAAAGTGTGATCTAAGTTTGTTCGTTCTCGAAACTCACAAGGATTGAAAGATTACTCACAAACGAATACATCCCATTTCGCAACATGTGGTCAAAATGTGTACCGATGCGCGTAACAGAAAATCACTTACCAAAACGCATGAGCCATGCATACACTCTTTCACGCTACACGGGTTTTTCTCTGTCAGGCAATTGTCCAGTATGTGACCAGGTGGAAAGACTGCGAGCGGCATTTTCTCATAGTATTTCGTGCAATGACACACGTACCTTCCTAGTTCGGGGAATGGAGTGCAGATGTTGCCTTCCTTAACGTTACATGCCACGTTACCCGGTAACGCCTTTCCAACGGAGGTGAAGCACGGATCCTTCAACTGTAGAAACAAGACAAGGATATCGGTCCTTGAAACCAAATCTGCTCGGTGGTTTCAAACTTTGCTTACCACCGTTACAAAGGGTTTGTTGACACAAAGGCCATAAACTCACACATGACAACTATTCGGTGACACGCCAGATGAGCTTGTGTTGAATTTCGCAGCGTGTTCACACCACCAGAGAAATATTCTCATTAAAACAAATCTATTTCAATAAACACACTTAACAGCATGCTGCAATTTCATTCCATCATGAGATATCATCACATGGATTGATACATAATATATATATAACGTCTCGCCTCCAAGATGCGCTTAAGTCCACCCTAGTGTTCGAACGAGGTTCCATCGCATGAATGAGTACTTTGTTACGTCTTGAAAATTGAAGTTTATAACAAATTAACATCACCCCAGGAGTCGAGCAGTGGTCGAAATCTACGGTGAGCAAACGCTGTACTTTAATCGTTTTGTGACCTATTACGCGGGCCTGCCATACTCCCACTCCATTGCTTTTACTGGTATTCCTGTGGAAATTGTGGACCCTTTGGGCATACTGATGAGTAGCATATAAACAAATGGAATAGTTCGGTACTGAAATTACCTGTAAAGCGCTCCACAGCATAAGTTTGCTATAACCGACGAAAAATAGAGTCCTGTAAAGTGTAGATGCCCCCAGTGACGAACAAATGTCAAACGCAACTAGTCACGTAGAGGAATGCCGCCAAGTGAATATATATATATATATATATATATATATATATATATATATATATATATATATATATATATATATATATATATATATATATATATATATATATATATATATATATATATGGCATCTCACACTCCGGTGTGTGTGATCTCTAAGGGGATAGCTTCCAATAGGCATTACTGCTGTCACTGTATACACTAGGAGGGGACCTAAAGCACCTGTTTTCCCAAACTCACCTTATGTACGGAATCATTCACTTACCTTATCGCACAGTGTTCCATAATAGTTCTCTTTGCATACGCAACGTTTCACTTGGTGCATGTGAAGTGCTTTGCGTTGTCCACCAGTATCTTTGTCCACACCGACGAAACCAATATACGACGTACCGACCGGGTCACACTTTGGATCGTCCATTTCTAACGCACAAATTTTCGACTGCGGTAGCCACTTGGCGTCAGGAAGGCAATCACACTGAAAGCTCTCGCGGTGTATGGTTGGCACTGAGGTGGAGATTGGGAGAAGTACATAATATTTTGGGTCAAGAGTCCAGTACTTTTCATGTGCAACCAAGTCATCGTGCTCTAAACGTCGATCTACTGAACAGCATAAACCACGAAGTTTGAAATCTCTACTGATTAATGGTGACACGGTATCTCAAGACTCGAAGCTGACTTGCGATAGGCCTATACCAGAAGCTGAAGAAATCTGTACGTCATCAACGGTACGGGTTGCTACGTGGCAGGCTTGAGCAAGGCTGTGATTGGTCAGGTTTGTTGGCAGCCAAATGCTACAGACCACGAGCTTATGCGGCGTACTGCTATCCATCACGCCAAGCATGAGAGGGAGGTTATTGCTCATTCATTACAGTACCGACGGCCTGTGTGCACAACTTTAGGGCCGAGTAACTGTTGGACCGAATGAAACGAGCGTGGAGACGGTCTATCGGAGTCCCGCGAATGCTTCTCCTGATTTGATCGACGTTGTGCAGCAACGCTTGAGTTGTCGTACTTTTCTGCTGCTGGGAAACTTTAATTTTCCGCATGTTGACTGGGCACAGTATAGAATCTTAGTTGGCAACAGCATCCTTGATTCCACTCTTGTTAACATGCTGACAGAGATGAGTGCTGTGTAACTCATCCAACAACCAACAATGCAACTTCCTAGGCAGCTGGTAAGTTGTATTGATCTACTTTTTACAAACGGTGAGCAGCCACTTGAATCAGTAGGGGTTTGAACCCATTGGGTTCAGCGACCACTACCATTACAGCCATTACGGGTTTGCCTTCTTTGAGAACTTTGTCACTGCCCACTCGTGACATATGGAAAACTAACTGGGATCGATTGCTGTCTACTACTGTACGCATGGATAGGTCGCTGCCTCAGAATGATAATATGGAGGCGTGTTTGGAGATTTATAAAGAAAACTGTAACCAGTAATTCGACTAGTTTCCTCCCATTACACCGATTTAGTCTCGGAAAAGGTCATTATGGATTGATAGGGAATGTGTTGTACTATCGAGGCGTTGCACGAAATTGTGGACGCGCTTCAGGCACACAAAGCGCGGAAGAAGACGAAAGAAGAAAGGCATCAGTAGTACGCCGGTACGCCGCACCGACACTTCGCTGCCGCACAACCACCATTGGTCGCATCTTGGCTAAGGATATTGTGAGGGTCGCTGTGCTCCTACGCCGGCTCCAACCCGCACCGTCAGATTACAAAGCTGGCTTGTTATCTTTAGCGTAAGAGCGCAGAGAATTAAGGGACAAATTAAAAAACACAACGGAACCGCCGTAACTTTATGAAATTACGTAAGCATGCAGCTTAGGAGACACGCTTGTCAACAACTGCAAAGGAAGCAACCAAGAAGATTTTTGCAAACGTTAAAGGCAGGCTTAGATCATCTGATGAATTACTTTGGAAATTTCATTCGGTGAGCTGTTGACCACCGACGCAGACAAGGCTTTGGCACAAGCTTCTCATTTCGAGTCAGTTTTCAAAGCAGCCAATCCATTACTTGATTACAATTTAGTCGATGCCAAATTGGCTACCGTAACATGCTCGGTAGATGAAGGTAAGCACCTGATAACAGATCCACATTACTCCCAACCGTCCGGATCAGATTGTCTACATCCAATGCTTCTTAAAAGAATGATACCTAGCATTGCACCAACGGTAGCAGAATTGTTTAATGCCCCTTTATTACTGGGGACCGCCCCACGAGGTTGGAAGCAAACCATCATGCGACGGTTCCCTAAAAGTGGCGATAAAAGCAAGATGGAAAACTATCGGCCGATTTAACACCAATATTGCTTAAACTTCTGAAAAAAGTCTCAAAAGGACTGCTTAAGTTTGCCATATCACGGCAGTCCAGCATGGTTTTCTGCGGAGACAGTCGTCTTCCAATAATCTCTTAACTTTACGACAGCTAGATTGAAGCAGTCAACGAAGGAAAAAACGTTGATGCGTTGTTGATAGGCTTTAACAAAGCATTTGCTAAAGTGAATCACAGCATCTTACTGCAGGTCAAAGTTCATGCTGCGCTATCCGATCCAATTTATGTCGAATGTGCAGTTCCTCAAGGATCATTTCTGGGGCCGCTTCTGTTTCTCGCATTCATTAACGAGCTTACGCGTTTGATTACTCCAGATTTCTTGCTCTTCGCTGATGATGTTAAGATATGGCGAATGATCTCCGACCCAGCATAGCACGATGCACTTCCGCGAGACCTGGACAGAGCGTATGGGTTGTCACTCCACAATCTGCTCCAGTTAAATACGGGGAAGTGTAAGATAGTTTACATTCGCCAGCAGCCGAACATTACATGCAAGCTTGGAGATCATGTCCTGCAAGCAGTCACTCAGGAGCGTGACCTTGGGGGTACTAGTTCAGGCTGTTCAAAACAATCTGAGAGAGCGTCAAAGACCGGGAACCAACACGTTGGTGTGTTGCGGAGAGCAGTTTGGCGGTTTGATCCCTCTGTCTGTTCTCAGTTTCTTAACACCTATGTTGGGCATCAGGTGTGGCAGCCCTGGCACAAACAAGACCTTGCAGCGCTGGAGACTCCACACCGACGAGCCACAAAGCACGTCAAAGGGTTGTTCAACCTTCCTTATCAACTTCGACTGTGGACCTTAAAATTATACATTAACTCGTACCGGCGCCTACGTGGCGATCTTATTATGGCCTACCAGATTCTAAGGAACCCCTACCACGTTTGCTGTCACCTACAACAACTGAGCCATAACATGGAATTCACGGGCCACCAATACAAGTAAGCCACGTAATACAGTCGGCTAAAATGTCAAAGGAACTTTTACTTTTTTCCCGTGTGTTAGCATTGGAACGCCCTACCAAAATAACGTTGTTCCTGTCGCCAATTTACCTGTGTTTAAAAATGCCTTGATGCTGCCCTAATCCACCTACACTATGAGATATAGCTCGTGAACAATGAACAATGATTTATCACGGGATAAAAGCACGTGCTTGACACGTCACGTAGGATGGTTGCGGTGAATATGAAGAAATCAAAATATATCTGAGTCATCTACCAAACTTCTGCCGAGATGAATACTTCGATAAAGTACATCAGTGTAAAATTAAAATCGCGAGCGTAAACGTTCAGAAATACACTGGGGTGCAGTGGTCGTTGATGTAAGGCGTGAGGAAAGTAAAATATGGTCACTCACTTGGGTCCATTTGATACATAAATCCTGTTGAAAAGCATGCTTGGCGTAATCCACAATAGAGGAGTTTAGGTAACAAAGTGTTAGGAGCAACATCTTATCATTTTTTGTAATTTTCCAATGTAGGGGAGGATACAACTAAGTCTGGGCGTGCGTTTCAAGGTAGGCAAACCCGAAGGGAAAAGTAATTCCGTCGACAGTCTAGACAGCTATATTTTTTTCCTTAATTTTAAGCAGTTACCCCTCAGCTGCTTGTTGTGGCTGTTTCAACAAATAGCGGCATACATGCTTGGGGTCACTCAGTATCTGATACGTTAATATGAGATCACCGCGCAGCCTTCGGTAACGTCCGTTGAAATTCCCAACCACTTCAGCTTTCTGTGGTAAGATTGATAGCGCAGGTCCTTTACATTATTTGTTGCTCTTCGTTGAGGTGCGTCTAACGCTTCTAGGTCGCGCTTCAACCATCGTTGCCCAGCTTGGATAGCGTATTCAACATGCGGACGCACATAGGAATTGTGCATCATAGTGAGGATTAATGGGTAAAATCTCCCGAATGCCCTTCGCAGCATGCCGACGTGCTGGTTGCTTCTTTTCGCAGCTACTTCAGCCTGTTTTGAACAGCTGGGGTCGCTCTGTACGATCACACTAAGGTCACGTTCCTGGGAGCTATTCTGCAATCCGTTTGTCCCAAGTAACTAGGTGTAGTTGTGTCTATGGCGTAATTATGCAACGCAACATTTGTCTGTGTTGTATGGTAGGGCGTTTTGAACTGACCAGTTCGACACTGTGTTAAGATCGCACTGGAGACCTTCGTGGTCGTCCGGTCCTCTGATCCTTCGCTATATCTTGATATCATCAGCGAAAAATAGGAAATCAGAAGCAATTGATCTCGCCAAATCGTTAATGAACACCTAGAATAGAAGTGTGTCTCGACAGGCGATATAATACGATGAGCGTTGCACAACCAGAACTAATCTACACAACTGTAGTTGGCTCTTTCTGTGTGCCTCTATGTTAACAATGTGGTAAGTCCAGAGAAACGATTTTCATTTTATCCCTGTTTTTTATTCACCATTTTGTGGTTCTCTTTTTAGCCATATCACTGAACTTGCTAAGCATTCGCTTTTTTGCCCGTTATACACCATTGTTCCATTGTACCATACTTTGTGGTTACGGTGTGGGTAGTAAATTGATGCGATGGAATCCATCCTTCTTTCTTGTACGAGCGAAAGTGGGTGCGCTCAAGTCGATAACCATCGAAAACACATTGGTTTACTGTCTATAGTGGTGTGCCACAGAGCACGGTAATTGGCCGAACAATATTTTTAGTTCACAACAATGATCTGCTTGCGTGCGCTTTTCGCCGAGGATTTTGCGGTCTCGAGAGAAATCTCCTCACCCGTCGACCAGGGTTTACTAGAAATTGGATCTAGACGAATTATCTCTTTCGTTTATTGAAGCTATGGAAACATTTGGAGTGCAGGGCTATTGCATTGCATACGATAGGTACATTCTTTTGAGAGTAGGACTACTAACCGCTTCCTTATCGTTAAAATTTTTCTGTAACCCACCAGACTACCAAACGGGGCTTGTAAAGCAGTGCTTCTTAATCCTCATAAAATCATCGTTTATTGTTCATCATCTAAACACCTGCTGTTGAACCCGGATAAGTTCCTACTAATCTGCATAGGCAAGGGCTCGCCGTGACAGTACGTACAGTATTGGTGATCGACGGCTATACCCAGCTACAAAAGCAAAGAATCTCGGAGCATTTTCCAGGTGGGATTTAATATCTATGGATAATACACACAAA